TGGCTATTGTGAACAGTGCTGCATTAAACATGGGAGTACAGATGTCGTTTGATATACTGATTTTCTTTCTTTGAAGGATAAACCTAGAAGTGGGATTGCTGGATCATATGGTAGTTCTATTTTTAGTTTTTTGAGGAACTTCAACCCGCTCTCCATAGTGCTTGTAATGATTTACACTTCCACCAAGAGTGTACGGGGTTTTCCTTTTCTCCACATCCTCGCCAGCATTTGCTATTGCCTGTCTTTTGGATATAAGACATTTTAACTGGGGTGAGATTATATCTTATTGTAGAGTTAGTTTGCATTTTTCTGGCAATCAATAATGTTGAGCACCTTTTTATATACCTGTTGGCCATTTGTATGTCTTCTTTTGAGAAGTAGCTCAAAAACCATATGATCATTTCAATTAATGCTGAATAAGCATTTGATAAAATTCAACATCCCTTCATGATAAAAACCTTTAAAAAAACTGGATATAGAAGTAATTACCTCAACATATAAAAGCCATATACAACAGACCCACAGCTAATATCATATTGAACGGGGAGAAACTGAAAGACTTGTCTCTAAAATCTGGAACTCAGCAAGGATGCCCACTTTCATTACTGTTATTCAGAATACTACCAGAATATGAACTAGAGCAATCAGATAAAAGAAAGAAATAGAAGCCATCCAAATTGGAAAGGAAGAAGTCAAATTAGCCTTGTTTGCAGATGATATGATTTTATATTTAAGAAAACCTAAAGACTCCACCAAAAATATAAGAACTAATAAATTTAGTAAAGTTGCAGGATACAAAATCGACATACAAAAATCAGTAGCATTTCTGTGTGCCAACAGTGAGCAATCTAAAAAAGAAACCTGGAAAGTAATCCCATTATAATAGCTACAAACAGAAATAAATGCCTAGGAATTAACCAAAAAAGTGTAAGATCTCTGCAACAAAAACTATGAAACACTGATGAAAGAAATTGTAAGAGAACACCAAAAATGGAAAGATATTCCATGTTTACGGATTGGAAGAATCAGTATTGTTAAAATATCGACACTACCCAAGGCAATCCACAGATTCAATGTAATCTCTACCAAAATACCAATGACATGCTTCACAGAAATAGAGCAAATAATCTTAAAATTTATATGAAATTACAAAAGATCTAGAATAGTGAAAGCTGTCCTTAACAAAAATAACAAAATTGGAGGAATCACAATACCTGACTTCAAATTATACTACAGAGCTATAGTATCTGAAACAGCATGATACTGGCATAAAAAACAGACACATAGATCAATGGAACAGCATGGAGAACCCAGAAATAAATTCATATATCTACAGTTAACTCATTTTTGACAAAGGTGCCAAAGCCATACATAAGGGAAATGACAATCTTTTCAATAAATGGGTCTGGGGAAACTGAATATCCATATGCAGAAGAATGAAACTGGACTCCAATCTCTTGCCATATACAAAAATTAAATTAAAATAGACTTAAGTCCTAAATCTAAGACCTCAAACTATAAAACTACTAGGATGGAACTTTGGGGAAACTCCAGGACTTTTGACTGGACAAAGATTTGTTTAGTAATACCCACAAACACAGGCGACCAAACCACAAACTGAAAAATGGGATCACATCAAATTAAAAAGCTTCTGCACAGCATAGGAAACAGCCAACAAAGTGAAGAGACAACCCATAGAATGGGAGAAAAAATTTGCAAACTATCCATCTGACAAGGGGTTAATAACCAGGATATATAAGGAACTCAAACATCTCTATCAAAAATATCTAATAATCTGATCAAAAAATGGGGAAAAGATGCATTTTTCTTTGGGTCTGTTGATTTCACTTTCTCTGGAACATCTTACTGCCTTTATATTTTCTTTATTTCTCTACCTTTATTTAAACTCAAGTTCTGTAGAGGCCTCATTCATTCTGTTTGCTTGGGTATCTCTACATATATCGTCTTTCAGCCCTCTACCCTTCCTTGTATTTATGCTACATTATAATTTGGCAACTTCCTTCCCCTGCTCTCCTGAATCACAACCACTGTTTTCTAGGTGCCATATTCAGTGGTGTGCGGTAAAAGTTTAACATAGGTTCTCGAAATATACATACAAACAAATTCTAATTTTCAGCATTTTCTGATTTCAATTCTACAAATATTCCCATCATGGCAGACACCAAGTTCCCAACTTGAGGTCACGACCATAGAATAGGGAACAGATGCCTGCTGCCCACCCCCACCTCCACCAAGGCCAGCATCTTCCCAACACCACAGATTAGAGCCATTTTAATGAGATATTTCTAAAGAACAGTCATCCTTTTTCTGACTCAACAAAGCAACTTGGATATAATTTCATCTTATTTGGGGTCTCTGGGTCATTATCATAAACAACACAGTCAAGGGCAAAAAGTGATTTCTCAAGAGGTTCTGACATTTAGAGAGAAGATATTAGCCAGTAAACTAAATGGCTAATTAACTTAAAATGGAAGTTAGATGAAATAATTAAGTGAAAAGTACAATGGTATTTTATTTTTGAAGTCTTTGCTTTTGTTAGTTAGCTTTTTAAACGTATAATACTCAAATCTAGTTTTCACAGTTTGCATAGTTGGTATAGCTGCCCTTCTCCATATTCTCGATATGCTCTTCTCTCTGTTTTTCATGTCTTTTTATCTGTTCTCTTATTTCTTTCCACCTCAATTAATTTTTTAAGTTCTCAGGAAATAAATATTAATAAACAGAGAGAGTGCCTTGAATGTAAACTGCATGTTTTCTCATAGTGGCATTAATTTGGCTTCTCTTTCATTACCTGTGTTTTCTTTAATATTGTAAAAGAGAATGCTCTCCATGCATCTTCTGACAGAAAAGGAAATGAGTTTTTCTATATTTGAAAAGTTCGCTTTAAAGGTTTTTGTCATGCACAACTGCTTTAAACTAGTGTTGTTTTTCAGAATGAATAGCCCGTAGCTGCTCTTCAGTGTTCTTTTTTTTTTTTTTTTTNTTTTTTTTTTTTTTTTTGGTATTTTAGTTATGTTTAGACATTTAAAAAATACATATTTGTATCACTGATGGACCAATAAATAAAATGCTGCATAGAAAGGTTGAGAGGAACTGATTTTTAGGGAAAGGTTCCTAGGGACTAGTTAAAGTCACAAGCAGAAACAAGCAGAAGATTGAAAATGCTGTGCTTCTTCTTACCTTGCTCTGATATTTTACGTTTTAGCCATTTCTGGACATTGATGGGTTCAGGAGATGAATCCTGAATGAATCCTGATTCATACCACTCTGTGCTCAGGAAATACCCGTGAAATGAATGTCAGTCTGATGTGGTTGTCTTTAGGCATTCGCTCTCTTCCCTTTTCCTCCACAGCTTGCTGAAGGCAAATCTTAACCCAGGTAAATTCAGCTTGCTGGATGGAGAACATTTCTTTATGTCCAAGGAAATTAAAGCTATTCAACCATACACCTGCCACATAACTAGAAAACTATCTAGGATGCCATTTTCATTTCAAAGCTGCAGTTTCCAGTGCCATCAGTATGGCTAATCACTGGATCATTTTATTAGAGTTACTGTTTTATCAATACAAATCTAGAAAAATACCTGAAATGTATAATGATTAATGTCCAAATAGAATAGGTGAAATTGTAAAATTTTTTACTGTAGAATACAAGAAACACTGTTAGTGCATGATAATGACATTTTTTGGTATTCACTGGACCATATGAAATACATTTGTTTCATCACAAATGGTTGTGTGTATCTTGACACATTTTATAATTGTTTTGAAATGTAGATGTATGTAATACAAATATAATATAATGTCTAAAATTGTAATGGCCTCATAATTTCTATTGGGTATTCTAAAAGGATGCTATCTAACCTAAGGTGAATTTTCTTGTTAGGTATATGATCACAATAAAATGTGATTCGAAGGGGTTGTTTAACTCTAGCTTTAGATCAGGGTCTTGAGCCCAGAGTAAGGAAATAAGTAAGCTTCATTTTGAACAGGTGGTTACCCATTGTCAGCACTGGCAATCTAAGGAAAGGAAAGGAAACAGAACAGATTTGGCTAATGTATATTTCACACAGGAAAGCAGGGATAAGTAGAAGTTTTTGTTTTCTTCTGTTTTCCAAAATGATACAGTTCTAGTGTCCCACGCCTGGAGTTCTTTGTTTTTGATCCAATTATGTTATACTAAGCCAATCGTTTTATTAAAAATAATGATATAAAATAAGCCAAGCCACAGAAAGATAAAGTTCACATGTACTCACTTATTTTCTGGAGCAAAAATTTAAAACAATTGAACTCATGGAGATAGAGAGTGGAATGATGATTACCACAGGCTGGGAAGGGGAGCAAGGAGAGGATAAAATGAGGATAGTTAATAAATACAAAAATAGAGGTAGATAGAATAAGTAAGATCCAGTATTTGATAGCACAATGGGTTGACTATAGTCAACAATAATTAATCACATATTTTAAAACAAAAGAGTGGATTTAGAATGTTTCTAACAAAAAGAAAAGAGGAATGTTTGAAGTGATGAAACATCTGATTACTCTGCTGTGATTATTAGATATGTATGCCTACATCAAGACATCACATGTACCCCATAAATATATATTTACCTATTATATACCCCTAATAATTAAACATAACTTTTTAATATAAAAATAAAAATGATGAACTTAAAACATAAAAAATCTGTCTGGATTTTCTACTGTAGAAAATGATTTAAGAGGTGTATCTCTAACTCTCCAGATAGATTCAAAAATCTATTCATACTTGAAGTTATAATGCTCAAAGCTATCTTAGTATTTTCTGAAACACAATGCATGAAACAGCACATGAAATAAGAATGAAAATTCTAATAATAACGGTGACAAAAAGTGTGATTGAAATTGGATATGCAGACTCCACCAGCAGTGAGATAATGATTAAAATGGTATCATGATGCTTTGATTAGACGCTAATGAACTTTCTTTTTTTTGTTGTAGCTCTCAGCATTAGAGAGGCAGATCTTTGATTTCCTTGGTTTCCAGTGGGCGCCTATTCTTGGAAATTTTCTACACATAATAGTTGTCATATTGGGTTTGTTTGGAACCATACAGTACAGACCTCGATACATCATGGTGGTAAGTCTTATTTTTACCATTTCTCCTCATATATAATTCAAAATTTCTATAAGAGTATAAATAAAATAATTCTAAGTGGCCCCTTCTGATATGATGTGGCATTGCTTTTATAGCCTTCAAATATTAAATTTTGTTAAGAAGCGATTATCTGTGGAAAATATAACATAATGAGTATTGTACGGTGAGATCGACGCATCACGCTCATAAGTGTATGATGGCGTGGTGTCACTCACAGTGTAATGGAATTCAAGTTTTATAGGGAAATTCAAAATAGGGTTTGGATAGAGTAGGTCTGCTTATATTCTTGGATATATTCTTTGGATAGAGGAGGTCTGCTTATATTCTTGGTTATAGAAAAGTTAGAAGCAATGTACATTAACTATCAGTGTATTAATTTATCATAACTTTCAATGACATTTGTCACTAACTTCAAAAACCAAATCTATCTAGCATAATTGTTTAATCACTGAAAACAATAATATGTTTTAATTTTAATTGATTTAGGACATTACAAGTGCATGTACGTATGGATATTTGGTACACATCCCTCATGTATTTCATACTAGATGTTATTGAATAGTTTCTCATTTGTCAAGATAAATTTGAAATATAAATCCAAAATGTGGTCAGTACACACTCCATTATGGGACAGTTTAATGAGGTGTATGCTATGACCCACAATCTAATGGAAGTTATTTACAGTAATTAGTTGTCTTTCCTATAATATAAAAAGAGGGCAATACTGTAGGCCACACACTTGAGAAGGTTGTGAGAAATAATATGCATATACAAGTATTGTAAGTTGGAGTAACATGCTATAAAATGTTCATTGAGCCTGAATAAATATACGGTGTTCAGTAGAATTACTGTATGTTTTCTTGGGACACACTGACATTGCCTCACTAGAAGAAAATCATAGACTTAAAAACATGTCATCTTTCCATGTTGTCATAATCTAATTCCACCTTTAGAAAATAATAAAGTTGTAACTTTTCTCTATTAAATGCGTCCATTCTCTATTTTGATTTTTAAACTTGGCTTTTTGATATCTTTCACTATTTCACAGAGATGTAGGTATCTGAATGGACCACACTCAAATGGCCTTGGGAGCATTTGATGGCTTTTAATTCGCTGCAAGGACTAAACAATTTCTGCTTTACTTTCCTTCTCTTAGGGAAAACCACAGCCAGGCACAGTGGCTCATGCCTGTAGTCCCAGCATTTTGAAAAGCCAAGGCAGGAGGTTTGTTTGAACTCAGGAGTTAAAGAGCAGCTGAGGGTTTTGTAGAAATCCCAAGTCTACAAAAAGTACAAAAATTAGCCAAACACTGGGGCATCTGTGGTCCCAGCTACTCGGGGAGCTGAGGCAGGAGAATCCCTTGAACCCAGGAGATCAAGGCTGCAGTGAGCCGTGATCATGCCACTGGACTCCCGTCTGGGCAACAGAGAGAAACCTGTCTCAAATAAAATAAATACATAAAGGTAGCCTCTGCTAAGTAACTACATGATCTCCTAGAAGGTGATTTCATGGAGTTGGACTTGCAGCCTAAGATGCTTTCATTTCATGCATAATCTCAAGCTGTTGTTGAATTCTAAATGTCTTCCAGTTTGTTACTATGAATATAGAGTACTTTTACTCATTACAGACTTTTTTTTAATGATTTTGGTGTTCTGCTGAGAAACAAAATGCCTGGTGGCTTTGAAATCATTGATGGCTTCCAGAGAATGAAGCTGTAGGTATATACCAGTGACATCTAGTTCTGCTGATTTTACCCACTAAATGTTAACCCTATCCACTATCCACACAACTGCTGCCTTGGTTGAGGATTTTCCCCTCTCTCTTCTATACGTGGACTTTACCTCTTATTTTCTGCCTTCCTCCCTTCCAACTTGCTCTTTGTGCTTTTCTCAAATCACTGGCTTAAAACCGCCACTGGCTCCTTAGCTGGATAAAATCTAAGAATATTCTTCCCTGATGTACTTGACCTAACTCATGTCTCACAATTCTTTTTTACTTCCTTCCTTCCTTTTTTCCTTCCTTCCTTCTGTCCTTCCTTCCTCCCTCCCTCCCTCCCTCCCTCTTTCCTTTCTCCCTCCCTCCCTCCCTCCCTTCTTCCTTGCTTCCTCCCTCCCTCCCTTCCTTCCTCCCTTCTGTCCTCTCTTCCTCCCTCCCTCCTTTCTTTTCTTCCTTCTTTCCTTCCTTTTTCCCTATTTCCTCCCTCCCTCCCTCCCTCCCTCCCTTCTTTCCTTCCTTCTTCCCTTTTTCTCCTCATCCTCTTTCCTTTACTCACTTCTTTCTTTTCTAACTTTCGTTCTCCCTTTTTTTTATTCACTGCTAATTCAAAAGATATTTACTGAGCTTCTACCCTGTGTTTGACATTGTTTTAGGTGTGGACTATACTGGTGAGCAAAAACAAACAGACATATTGTCTGTCTTCCTGGGTGCTTACCTTACAGTGCAGTGAAGAGAGGTGTGCCTTTATCAAACAATTATCCACATAAATGTTAAATTGCAACTGTGTTAAGTGATATGAAGGAGCACACTGTGCCATGAGGTTTCTAATGGGGTATCTGACTTTAGCAGGGCAATGGAGTTAGTCACCCTACAGGGAGATGAGGTTCAGGTCTGCAGTACAAGTAAGAGAGTGAGTCCACCAGGACGAAGGGAGTGAAGGGGAGTCTGGGCAGGAGGCATCACAGGCCCATAGAAGGGGGACTTTCACAGCGGTTCTGATTCATTCATTAAGCATCTATTGAGGACATATACTGTGCTAAGGTTGGAAAAATAGGAAAGAATTCAAATGTCAAAGGCCCTGCTCTGCAGGTGCTAACATGTAAGGAGTGAGGAGGTGCAGGTTCTGGGGCTCTCTAGAGGTGGGGGAATGGCAGTGAAGAGGAATGAGACCAGAAGCAGGGCAAGGCCTGGGGGAGGCCCTGAGCCAGGTGTGGAGACCCAGAAGGGCGGAGAGTCTGCACAGCTCAGTGTCATGGACCTCCTGCTGCACCTGCCTCACCAGCCCTGTGCTCTGGTAGCCTTGCCTGGAGTTTGTGTCCCCGCCTAGCAACGTTTTCTCAGTTTCTCATGCACACCTCCTTCCATACGCCTTAATCAGGAATCACTCTCTGCTTCTTCACCTGTAGAGTGTCTTGAGTTTGTTTTATAATTTGTCCATGTTTATCTCTTCTAGGCAAAGTGTTCTTTGAGAGCATAGAATGTAATGAGTGCTCAATACATATTTATTGATTATTTATCCTATCTAGTGCCCTACTAGTTCACAGAGTCCACCCACAATGAAACTGCTGTCACTTCTCTGCTGGTACCCTTTCCTTTGCTTCTTTCTCTCCTTTCTCCCTCCTGTGTGTAGAGGAAGGCAGTTTTAGGTCTTTCAGAAACTTCAAAGAAAAGCATCAGTAAGACTAACAATCCACGGTTTTGCTCATCTTGATGGTCTCTTTTAATGGGTTATGCCAACCAGGCTCTCTCATTTTATTTGTGCTCTTATTCAAGATCCTCTCTCAGGAAGGGGAGAGAAAGAAAGCAATGAATTGTTGGGAAAGCCTCCACACCAAGCATGTCATTCAGTTTCATTCTCACAAATATCCTACAGGGCGTGTGTCAGCCCATCTAATTTACCAGACAAGAAAAGAGGTCAAAAAGGTTGACTGACTAGCCCAAGGAGCCTAGGTGGTAATAGGCAGCAGAACTGGGTGGGTACTGGCCTGTGATTGTTAGGTTCAAAAAGCTGCTGTAGCATCATCTGTGCCTTGTTTTCACTGCCAGATTCCAGATGATAATGTTACCATTGTCAGTATAAGTTGTGATACAGGAAATAATCGTGGCCTGCCTCCCAGTCAGATACTGTTACGTCTACGAAACTGGATTACCTCTTATTCTAACGTGGGTATAAATTATCTGTTTGATAAAAGTACCTAAAGAATCATTAATCTGTGAGTATGGGAAACCTGTTCACAAACACTGCCTTTTATAAAAAGGGCATGTTGTTATTTGAGAAGGTTTTTTTTTTTTTTTTAATTCATCCTTGAGTTGTTGTCACAAATGCTTTGGTTTGAAGCTACAACTGGTGTCCTGGAATTAATTCTGGTATTAAAAAGAAAACTGAAGATGAATGTGGCATATGTCCTATTAGAGGCGGCAGCTTTTCAATGGCAGTAAGCAGAGTCCTAGAGCAGAAATCCATACTGACTTTCTACTGTGAGGGGAAAGAGCTTTTTGATTGCAAGGGATTTTCTCTCAAAATCGCTTCTGCTATTTTTAGTGTTGGCTTCCTTTATTGGCTGAAACCACCACACAGATAGTTCAATTAAATTTAATCCATTTCAAACTAACAAACACTTTGGAGCACCAGGTATGTGCTAAGTTCTCATGCAGAGATTAATAACATATACATGTTTGCTGCGATAGTTTAACAGAGCTTTAGGTTTACAAAAGCACAGATAATTTAATACCATTTTGGACAAAAAACAGGGTTCATCACAGTTGAATCTAGGTAATTGACCACCCCTATGAAACTGCTTTGGGTAAAGGACCATGAATCTCAAGCTTTCCAATGCCTATAGTTTTTTCCAAACTCTCAGAGTCTAAATCAAATCTTATGAAAATTGTTTCTTTATCTACCCTTCCAGCACCTCCTTCATTCCCCGTTTGCCTGCCTTGTTCCAGCCATGCCAAATGATTTGTATTTTCCAAAGGCCACATGCTGCCCTTGACTCTTCAGATAATACATACTACACCTTCTGCCTGGAATGCCTTAATCTCCTATCCTTTTGGAAAAACCCTTAATAATCCTCAATTAAATAGTCACATTTTAAAAGCCTTACTTGACCACTTAATGCAAGGGAAAGTGCCTTTTCCCTTCTGCTGCTGTAAATCCTGGTAACTTTCTACCCCAACACCCTGCCTTACCTATCATTGCTTCCCAACCTTTCTCTCCCCATTCAACAATGCGTACTTTTGGAAGGCAGAACTGTGCCCATCTATTG